AAAAGTAATTTATTTATAGGATACGTGGACTATGTACATAACACTTCATAGAAGTAAATAATCTGAATAGTTACATGCATCAGCTTGAGTACTAAAATCTAACGTAGGCGCTTGCTTTTCCTAACTGAGGCGGGAGACAACCCGCTCGCAGCCACATCAGACTGCTGGACTCGGACTAGTGGCGTCGATAAGGCCAGTGTCTCATCGCTAGCCAGATTGATAGAAGAATCATCACTGTGAAGAGCTTCATGATCGTGATCTAAAATATAAAGTAAATCAAAGCAAAAAAAGCCAACAAAATCAAAGTCCGGGTGATCAAGACAAAGCCTCACCTAATGTACCAACTGTTGCTGATCTAAGTGACTTTCTGGACTTCTTTTTGCTAATTGTATCGCTATAAGCCGGCGACATAATGGAGTTTGCTGAGGGCTTAACATCAGCCGATGCACATAGAGGCGTCTCTAAAGCTGTAGATAACAAGAAATGTATTGCGTGAAGTTATAATTCGTTCTTGCAGATTAAATATCCAAATAAATGAATTATAATGTTTATGAGATAAAACGAAGAAGTTGCATCTGTTAAAAGACTGAAGTATATTAGCAATGAGAGAATTAATTTGAATATAACATGATTTTCTAATCATATTATATTCATTTTTATGAGATAAAATAAATAAAATTTGTATTCAGACAATTGAAGCCAATGTCGTAACCAAAGAGACGCCTGAGAGAAACAGCTTACTTTCTTCAAAATATACAAAGAATTTAGTGGTTGTATGATTAAACATCAGTATTTTACGTATAAGTATAGTTTCGAGGCTACCAGTAAATCAGTTATATGGGATGTATTCACTCTATTTCGTTTAAGGTGATGTCTGGAAGTAGGATTTTCCCACAATAATATGAGTAGAACTAGCGTATCCATTGAATTTCACATAGCCTTGCTTCCTTAAAAAAGATGAGAACAACTTTTGGGAAAGCAAGGCTATGTGAAATTCAATGGAAGAGTCAGCTCTACTCATATTATTATAGGAAAATTATACTACCAGTCCTTCATCACCTTAAACGAAATAGGGTGAATACATCTCGTATAAACGTTAGTAATAAATGAAGCAAGATTCATAAGATTTTAAGGGTTATATGCAGAAAATTAATGAGATGTGTTGAAAAATAGGTATAGTTAGTTAAAAGCTTTAGTTTATGAGACAACCTAGTAGACGAGCAAATAACCACAAAGAAGAATTATTGTTAATTTGTAGTGTAATCTAGTTTAGGAAACTATTTAGATAGCAGAAGTAACTCTCGGGAGGCAATGAGAGATTATGGATGAATTAAGTCTAAGTAAAACCTCGGCCATGAGACCTAATTCTGGAAAACGTTTATGACTCTTTTAAGGAAGATTTTATGAAGGGGAGCAAGGATTTTAAGTGGGATCTTGTTTAGCTCCCATTATAGCAAATAATTACAGTTAAAAATGTGAGAAACGCTTTCTCACCAATTTTTTTAGAAAAAAAGAATGAGGGCAAAGTTTGTCTATCTTTGACTAAATAGTCTCCTTCTGAAAATTTATTCCTCAGTAAAGAGATATTGTT